CATATGCTCTGATACCACTTGTTGGGTTATGAAGGTGCATTTGTGCGTCATGCGGAAGCTTATAATTTGCAGATCATATGATAATAAATTAGATGACAAAAAACTTAACTAAAAACATAATATTATTATATGAAAAACTAATATAAAAGAAAATATTAAAACTGTTGAGAGAATAAATCTCCCCATAAACAAGACTCTTAAACGACTACATTGTGGATGTTATTGTTTTTGTGTTAGAAGAAACAAACCTATATTTATAGAGTCCTAAAACCTTTTCTTACTAGAAAAGGAGTCCTAAAAGGAGAGAATAAACTAAATATGAAAGAATATTTTATTTTCCTTTCAAGAAAAGTAAAGATATAAAAGAATATTATATTTTCCTTTAAAGTAAAAACATTTATGGTAATGTTTTGTTTTTCTTTAAGGAAAAATAAATCTTAAATTATGGTAAGAAAATCAGGGCAAAACCCTAACACTTCTTTCCCAGTCCACAACAGTTTTAATTCTTGTGTAACAAGGATGTATTTCAACAATGAATTGTCTGATATGAAAGATGGTCTCCTTAGCACGCTGCAAGATTCAAATAGTGTGGATATGAGCAACACCACTAATGGTTTCAAATACTTCAAGCCCATCAAGTAGTTATTGTCAAATGAAAGTAGTGTTTGTTGAAGTTGTATCAACTTAAGAGAATTAATTTAATATATATAAATCATAAGTGCATGTATAAGTACCCTTTATTTGATTTACTTATATGAGTCATTTAAACTGGAAATTTGGTAGAAAATATTAGTTGAATAATATGTATATTGTATTATAAAATATAATATGACAATAAGTCAACATCAATGTATTTTGTGTGAGCATGAAACACCATATAAAAAATAAATTCATATTTCAAATCAAACCTTTTCAAATTCAAGTGCACCTAGATATCACCATCTCGACTTCTTCTTCCCCATGCAGTCCATCTACCATTTTTGGATCCATGTTTTTTTATCTTTTAGTTTGTTGTTGCATCTCAAAATCCATAGACTTCTCAAAGGAAGATTATGATAGATAATGTAAGTGAAGAAACTAACATAAATTAGTGTATTTTTATTGGAAAAAAAAATTAATAATACACTAAGCAGTGAAATCTTACAAGGAAGAAGCATATAGTGTTCTATCTTCTCACTTCAAATAGGAATATTACTGACCAAAGGTTAAAACCTATAAAACGTTACTGACTTGTTGAGTTAATTCCTGCAAAAGAAAATAGAAATTAGTGAAAATTGTGCCTTATGCAGTGTAATATAATATTGGAAATAAACCATCTCCATGCCATCTTTTGCCAATGTCTTTTGTTCTATAGTTCAAAGTACACTTCTTGTACCTTGAACTCACTCAACCTTAAATTGCCAAATTTAAGAGCATATATATAATTTGATATGGTTGAAATAATACAACAAATGTGGGGTGATTGAAGAGATTTAAGGTGTTATAAATAATTGTAGAATTTAGTATAGCCATTTAAAGTGCAAGTTGAAATTGATTGGCAATGAACCTATGAATGATTTGATTATTGCATATATGGAAAATGATTGTCCAAACTTGTAAATTTGAGCATCTAAATATAGTTAGTAGGTAGTCTGTATAATAAATTATAACTTAAAGCAAGTTGATGCAACTTATAGTAATTCAAAAGGTCATAGCCACTGAATTTTAACATTTTCGTCGAGTAAGAAAAAAACAGTAATAAAAAGTTTTGAAATATGTTCATCCAAATCAATAAATAAAAGTAGTGACATAAATATTTTTCATACGATCTCTAGATAAATGAAGTATGATCCTTACCTATATGTTGCAAATGTTGCTGGCTGACGAAGTAAACCAAATCAAAAGAGCAATGATTGCTTCATGAAAAAAAAATATAGTGCACAGCTTACAAAAAATATGAAAAAGGCTAAAGTCTAGTGAGAATCATCAATGAATATAACAAATATGGTGCACAACTTACAAAAAATATGAAAAAGTCTAAAGTCAAGTGAGAATCATCTATGAATATAACATTAATAGTAATGTCAAGAACTTAGGCCTTTTATATAAATTCTATAAAGAGAATATTTTCCCACCATTAATCCAGGGAATTTGAAAAGACCAAAAATGAATGATATTATCATATGAATGAATTAATGAATAAATTAATATCAACCCTTCCTCTTCTTTTAGTTTTAAACCGGTAGTAATTACAATGACAACATGGTCTTTTCATATGATGATAATATCATTAGTATTAGTTAGTATACGGTCAGTTTATTATTTAATAATTTAATATTTAATTAATTATACATTTTATGAAGAGATTTTTGGATTATTATGATTATTAATTTATTATTATATACATATAGATTATAGATGATAAATATGTATTAAATTAGATATATTTTAATTAGGAATTAATCTAAGGAAGTGCAAAAGTCATTAACATATTAATTAAAATGATACAATTTAATATTTAAATTAAATAATTAAATATTTTATAATATTTTAATTTATAATAGGGGTAAAATTGTAATTCAACTTTTAATTTTTTTTTGTTCCCACTTATAGTAATATATGATATATGATATGATATATAAAGTATATTTGTTTGTTGAACCAAGTCTTTCAACAAATTATATTTTATTAAACCACCCCTTTGTTGGTACCAGCTTGCATTAAGTTATTGTCTTTGTTTATATTAATATGATAATACATATAAGACGACACTTTGTGTTTATTTCAACAATGAATTGTCTGATCTGAAAGATCGTCTCCTTAGCAGGCTGCAATATTCAACTTACTCGGATGTTGGAAGGGATCGAATAAGTTTCTTTCTATGGGAGTTAAAATTTCTTGATTGTTTTCTCTATTTGAAAAGGTTACCTTTCGCAAGTGAATGCGGTATGCTAAATGTCTCACAGAAAATGATAGAAATTTGGAAAAGTTGGTGGGACAACTTAATTTGGATGAGTATGTATGCTGAAGAAGTTGAGCTTACTTTGGATGCATTTGGCGACTGGAAGAAGGTAATTTGGAAGACTAAGCAAGAATTCAGAGCCCAATACTTCTTTCCGAAATCACCACTTGCAACCAACAAGGTTCTAGTGAAGATCAATGATCCATTTGTGATGGAAGTCATCGATGTTTTTGTGGGGAACATCAATGTTCTAGTGAAGATCAATGATCCATGCTCGTGGTTTTTTGTTCCAGGACACATGAAGGAACAAATAGAACAAGTGTTAAAGGAGTTGAAGTTATTGAGATTTTTTGTCTGCTTTGTTTCAAACAAATGTATAGAGCCTCAATACCGATGTACTACTTTTTATACTCATGCTTTAATTGAGGCTAGCCACATCGCAATGGTTGTGTGGTTGCATTTGCCAGTCTATGGCAACGGAAATCAAGACTTGGCTCCAACTGAAGTCAGTCGTTTGCTTTCTGATTTCATGGAAATGAAGATTAAGTCCATGGAGCTAGGCATCAGCCACAACAGTATTTATATTGATGTCCTGCAAACATTGAAGTCAACCATACCACAAGCTCAAAAGACGCATGCAGCTGAGAGTAGCACTGTGGAGATTCCAACACACAGTCTGACGGTTGGTTTGAGTCATCAAATGGCTAACCTTCAGGACATGCTCTGCCTTCTAAGAGACAATCTCATTCATCTGCCAATACTAGATCTGGAATTTCATCTTCAAGATATGGATTCTGTTATTGTTGATGCCGGACTTCTTATTTACTCATTATATGATATTAAGGGGGAGAAGGAAGACACAACATTGAATGATATGAACCGAGCACTTGGTTTGGATCTTCCAAGAAACATTGAGCCTATCAAGGCGATGGTCTACCTTGTCATGCAAAAGGCATTTCAATCTAACTTGCCAAGGATTCATGGACTAGGAAATGTCGATTTTCTATTGAAAAACCTGAAGGATTTCCAAGTCCGTTATTCAGATTCACTTGTTTCCTCAAAAATCAACTTCAAGTAATTCAAACGGAATTTGAGAGCTTGCAACCTTTCCTGAAGGCTGTTGTAGAAGAGCCACACAACAAGCTCAAGACACTGAATGAAGATTGTGCTATACAGATAATTAGGAAAGCACATGAGGTTGAATATGTAGTTGATGCTTGTATTAACAAAGACGTTCCTCAGTGGTGCATCGAGCGTTGGCTCCAGGATATCATAGAGGAGATTACTTGTATCAAAGCAGAGATTCAGGAAAAGAACACGGTTGAGGATACAATGAAGACTGTCATTGCTCGTACATCATCACAATTGGCAAGGACTCCAAGGATGAATGAAGAGATTGTTGGGTTTGAGGATGTCATAGAAAATTTAAGAAAAAAACTACTGAATGGAACCAAAGGGCAAGATATCATTTCAATTCACGGCATGCCAGGTCTAGGTAAGACGACTTTGTCAACAGACTCTATTCTGACAGGTCAGTTGTTTCTCAATTTGATATTTGTGCACAATGTTGTGTGTCTCAAGTATATTCGTATAAGGAATTGTTATTGGCCTTGCTATGTGATGCTATCGGTGATGATTCTGCGCGTAGAGAACTTTGTGCCAGTGAATTAGCTGATATGCTTCGCAAAACTTTATTGCCCCGAAGGTACCTTATCCTTGTTGATGATGTGTGGGAAGATAGTGTTTGGGATGATTTAAGAGGTTGTTTTCCAGATGCCAATAACAGAAGCAGAATCATTCTAACGACAAGACATCATGAAGTTGCCAAATATGCTCGTGTTCATAGTGATCCCCTTCATCTTCGTATGTTTGACGAAGATGAAAGTTGGAAGTTGCTTGAAAAGAAAGTGTTTGGTGAACAAAGAGTTCCCCTCTCATAAAAAAAAGTTGGGCTAAGAATAGCAAAAATGTGTGGACAACTCCCTCTTTTCAATTGTTTTGGTGGCTGGTATTCTGTCAGAGATGGAAAAGGAAGTAGAATTTTGGGAACAAGTGGCCAACAATTTGGGTACCCACATTCACAATGACTCAAGAGCCATTGTAGCCAAAGTTATCATGTTTTACCCTGTCATCTTAAGTCTTGCTTCCTTTATTTTGGAGCATTTTTAGAGGATAGAGTGATTGATATTTCAAGGTTAATAAGGTTATGGATATCAGAATCATTTATAAAAAATAGTGAAGGCAGGAGCTTGGAGGATATAGCAGAAGGTTACTTGAAGAATCTTATTGGAAGAAATCTAGTAATGGTTACCCAGAGGGGCGATTCAGATGGTAAGGTCAAAGCATGTCGCCTTCATGATGTATTACTCGATTTCTGCAAGAAAAGAGCAGCTGAGGAGAATTTTCTACTATGGATAAATAGGTAATATGATAAGTAATGGTACTTTCAATCAATCAAGTATTTGAAGTTATATTTGAAAATTAATGCTATGATTTTGCTAATTGATATATTCACAGGGATCAGAGTACCAAAGTTGTTTACTCTCACAAGCAGCATACTCACTTGGCCTTCACTGAAATGGATAATCTTGTTGAATGGAGTGCATCTTGTTCACTTGTTGGCTCTGTACTTTTTAGGAATCCTGATTCATACTCTGCCCATCATCTCTTATACTATCCTGGTTTTTCAGTTTCACTCATTTTATTAAATTTTAAGTTTCTAAAAGTATTGGATTTGGAGCACCAGGTTGTTATTGATTTTATTCCAACTGAGCTCTTTTACTTGAGGTATTTATCTGCGCACATTCAACAAAATTCAATTACAAAAATGCTGACTTGGAAGAAATTGTTGATACATTGTTAAGTTATAGGCGTGATTTTGGGGGAGTTAAGTGTGGTGTGGGGAGAGTTAGAGAGATGTATACACAGGTTAATAAAGAGAGACGGAAAAAGGAAATTTTTGTAATTAATTTAAATGGTAGGGAATTTAATAGATTATGTTATCCTCAGGAATTTCATCTCTGATGGGCACAAACTGTATAGAAACCTTTGAATCAATTTAAAATGGATCCCATTTTCATAATTCATCATACAAAAGACATAATCATCATACAGAATGCAACTCTCTACAGACACATTTTTATCTTACTCATAGAGTGCTGGATTGGACAATCTTGGAGTCGGTATAGCCACCAGAGGCATTTTCTTCTTCAAAATAATACCGAACTTCTCTGTAACTTCTAATGTCTCTCCTTCAGGCAATTTCCAGTCGAAAGAATGAACCAGTGAAGCAAGTGAATACATGAACATCCTCTCTGCCATGTCTATCCCCACACAGATTCTTCTGCCAGAACCAAATGGGAAATAGTTGAAATCATTTCCACTATAATCCCATTTATTGTCCAAAAATCTCTCTGGACGGAACTCAGTTGGATTTTTCCAGATAGAAGGATCTCTGTGTATAGCCCATACATTTATGAAAACACAAGATCCTTTAGGAACAGTGTATCCTCCGACAGTGCATGTTTCACTTGGACAATGTGGCACCAATAATGGAGCAGTTGGATGTATGCGCAAGACTTCTTTCATAACCGCATAAAGATATGGTAATTCCTTAATATGAGACTCTTCCACAATATTATCTTTTCCCACAACTGTCTCTAGTTCTTGTTGTAATTTCCTCAGGACGTCTGGTTTGTTCCCACAACTGAGCTCATATCCAATCTTTGGAACCTTGAAACTCTTATATTAAAGAGTACACCAAATTGGAGACATAACACGCTATTACTACCTAGTACAATTTGGGATATGGTTAAATTGAGACATCTGCATATTCCTAAATTCAGTCCAGAAAATGAAGAAGCTTTACTTGAGAACTCTGCAAGATTTTATGATTTGGAAACCATTTCCACTCCATATTTCTCTCGTGTTGAGGATGCAGAATTGATGCTGAGAAAAACACCTTATCTTCGAAAACTGATATTTGAAATCGAGTGCTTAGAATATCCCCCTCAGTACCATGCGTTAAATTTTCCAATAAGGCTTGAAATACTAAAGCTTTATCGATCAAAAGCCTTTAAAACCATCCCATTTGGCATCTCTGCACCAAATCTCAAATACCTGAAACTCTCTGGCTTTTACCTGGATTCTCAGTACTTATCAGAAACTGCTGATCATCTCAAGTACCTTGAAGTACTCAAACTGTACAACGTTGAATTTGGTGATTATAGGGAATGGGAAGTTAGCAATGGCAAGTTCCCTCAACTCAAAATCTTGAAACTAGAAAATTTGTCCTTGATGAAATGGATTGTAGCCGATGATGCCTTTCCTAATCTTGAACAATTGGTCTTGCATGGATGTCAAGATCTTATGGAGATACCTTCTTGTTTCATGGACATCCTTTCTCTCAAGTGCATTGAGGTAGATATCTGCAACAAGTCTGTTGTTAAGTCAGCCAAGGATATATAAGAAACACAAGTCGAAGATAATCAAAATACTAATTTCAAGCTCGTCATCATCAATGTACATTACTGAGAAAAGCTTTATTCTGCATGATTTTGATGAATCAGAAATAACGGCTTTAAACTTTATGAACTGTTTTCACTGTTATCTTTAACCCTCGTGGCGTCATTCGGGTTTTCTTGCAGAAAATGGTGTTGAAATTTGATACATCTCCTGATGAAGAGATAGTTAAAAGGTATCCTCTCTTCCAGGTACAGATTATATTTTCTTTCTTTCCTTTTTTTAGTTACATCATAAAATTGATTCATCTTTTTTGTTCTTTTTGTATATGAAAGGGATAAAATCAATTTCAATTAATAGTATAGAAAAGATACTTGCTGTGAGTGGAGATGTGGATGCTGATGAAGTTCGATTGGTTGTGGGCAAACTAAGCAAGCGTGACATGCTGTAACGAAATGCTGAGCTCTGGTAAACTCAGCCATGATGGATTTCCAGAAAATGACAAGGTTATAGTCCCATTGTAATTTGTTCAAATTCAACTCAAAACGCCCATTTATCAGCTCTAACTGATGACTACATCTGCAAAGTTAATGGTTTTGTTGATGTTTTTCAAAGCAAGGTTGAGGAACTAGTTACTTAAGCTAGGACCTAAGACTCTTACCCATTTTCAACTGTGATTTTTGTTGTATGGAAAAATGGACATTTTTAAGGCAGTTCTCACAAAAAGTTATAAATATTTTTATAAAAAGAAAAAAAACAGTTGTAATTATTTATTGGCCGTAAACTAAAATCTGTATTATATGTTATGTCTGCTTTACTTCTGTATTTTGAACTGCTTTGATATGCATTACTTGAGCTGAGGATCATTTGGAAACAGTGCATCTACCTCTATGTAAGGGTAATAAGATTTGCACACACTATACCTACCGCAGACCCGTATCTGTGAGATCACATTGGGTATGGTGTTGGTTGTGATCTTAAACTAAAATGTGTATTCCTGGAGCTAAAAATTTGACACCAAAAGGAGAAAGATCATAACTTTGTGGGATCGTTTGTTTATGTAAGTTTTGTAGCTCTAAATATTCTGGAGTCTGGACAACGATAACTATATTTTTTGATCTATTAAGTCATTGAGTTTTTCTTTAACAGGGTATGCAGAGTTTGTAGCTGGAGCAATTTGGAACATCACATGTAATTTCTTTATGAGTTGTTTCTTTTAATAAAAATTCTGTAAACTTCCCAGCAGCTGGTGAATTCATTGTAATTTTAAATTAAACACATTTCAAACTATTCGCTCAGTCCTTAATGTTTGTGACTCCTGAATTGAATGGTTTCACCCTTTTGTATTTTCTTATGAGTTATGCTATCCTTTTGCTTCTTATGAGTCCACCAAAATGCTGTAATGCCACTCTGTTAAGATCTTGCTTCTACATAATACATTGTTGCATCTTTATGTGGACAGTTCCCTTCAGAACGTTTTGAAGGTCGAAGAACTGAAGTTTTAAGACATCAAACATTCTTGCAGGTATTACATATATGGTATATCATAGATTAAGTGTTAAAGAGATTGTAAAGTAACTTTGTTAGTGTCACGCTCCGAGCCTACACCCTGGGCGGGACCGGCACTCGAAGCCATGCTGGCCCCCAAGTGAACCCTTGGCCTGGCTTTCTTAACTCAGCGGAAACTTAACTCAACAGCATGACTCAATGCAATGAAAGGTTATAAAACAACCAACTAGATAAAATATGGCCAAAAAGGCAACTCGAGTCCCAAAAATAGAATATTTACATATATACATAGACGAGAGACTCAATACTAACTGACTGATTGTCTATGAAGCCTCTAAAATACTGAGATGGATGTTGGGATAGGTTGCGCAGCATCCTAACAAAACAAAACTAAGAGAACAAAATATCCGAGTCCTCCGAAAGCAAGGTGGCTCACCACTGATTCTGGAGTGCTCAACTGGATCAACGGCGTGCTG